TCTTGGGAGGCCCTGTGTAAAGATCCCTTACCTTTCCAGCCTGAGTGGCAGGGCCTAGGAGAAGCAGGCCAGTTAGTTGCAGCTTTGGAGGGCCTGGCAGAGGGCAGCAGGAGCCATTTTAGTTTAGGGAAAGCACCATTTCAGAGAGGGGGAGTGGCCTAGGCCTGAGCCAGCCTTAGAACTGCCAGGATTGGTTTATTAAAGGGGGGCAGAGTTAGACTGTTTGGAGGGAAAGAAGAGGGCTTTTTCAGTCAGTCGGTTGTTGATAGGGATTAGAGCAGGAAGATCGTTTTAGGAGTTCGTGTTAAGAGTAGGCAGTTTGCCTTAGGTTTGTCAGCGAATAGTAGCTGTAACAAACTGGTACAGTTATCAGGGAAAGGTAGCTGGTTTTGTAGATAGCTAGGCCACAGTTGAGGGTAGCTAAGCTACAGTTGTATCTTGGCAGAGATTTAGATCCTGTCAAGTATACTTGGTTTTGTTTTAAAGAGGAAAATCTCTGTATTAGTAACAAGGAAAGAACATTCACATGTAACCATTACGCTTTAAAGACAAGCCAGAAAATCTCTGTAACCATCAAGCTTAGTAAACAGCATTCACTTCATTCTGTACTTCTATCAATAAACTTCTCTTGATTATTTTTAAAACCTAAAAAGCCTGAGTCCCGTGTGCCTTTGTGGCTAAGAGTCTCTTTCCCAAACAACCTCAAGTGTTTTTTCTCCTTAAAGAAGAAATAAGAAGACACAGTGTTTGGTGCTCTTTAAAAAACCCTTTTATTATTTTGAACAGCTAGAGTGTTCCTGTACATTTCAGTTTATGGTGGCAGCGGAAGTTAAATAGAGACATCTCCTCAAATGTTATATAGGTGCCAGTGATTTTTTTTATATTGGAGGGACAGTTGGTGGGATCTGTTTGCCCCCCTGTCCAGATAGATATTGTTTGGCCACACTACGTGCCTTTATAATTTGGTGGCAGCGATGCAGGATTGATCGATAGTCTTTATACCCTGCTCTCCATCCCGCCTCCTTCGCAGGCGTGACCTATAGAAACAAGAAACAGGACCTTTTCAGTGGTGGCCCCTCAGATGTGGAATTTCCTTCCCAATGATATTAGAGCAGGTCCCTCCCTCCTGGCCTTCAGAAGGAAAGTGAAAACCTGGCTCTGGGGTCAACTTTGGAGATTAACTACAGTGCAATAATAGCTACGGAATTATGTACAATGACTTTTGGAATGGCCTCGGATTACGATTGTGGATGGCATGATTTTTAATACTGATCGTAATGTTTTATATGCATTTAATTTTAATTTTAAATCATTAACTTAATGTACTTTAACTGTTTGTTGTTCAAAGGCATTGAATAGTTGTCATATGTAAAACCGCCTTGAGTCTCTTTCAGGGTAGAGAAAGGCGGGACACAAATAGAGTAAATAAACAAATAAATTAGTGTGGCCTTTGGCAGTCTTTCATTCAGAAAATCATAATTTGAAGCGGACAAACAACAAACAATTTCTGGAAAGATCTGGTGCCAATTCAGACCTGCCTTCCTAGGGAGCAAAACCAGGAATGTCGCCTGTTGTCAGAGGCGGCCCTAGGTAATTTTCAACGGTTAGCAAACAGTATTTTGCCGCCGCCCCCCCCCCCAACCAATCACTGATATATATTTTCTGTTTGTCGTGGGAGTTCTTTGTGCCATATTTGGTTCAATTCCATCATTGGTGGAGTTCAGGATGCTCTTTGATTGTAGGTAAACTATACATCCCAGTAACTACAACTCGCATATGTCAAGGTCTATTTTCCCCCAAGAGTGTCTCAAGAGCGACCCTGGGCAAAATCAACTATACTGTAAATGCTTACTTTGCATAATGGGTTGAGCTGCCCCTGCCTGTTGTTCTTCACCCTGTGTTGGCTCTGGCAACTCCTTCAGTCCCAGATGGATTGTAGAGTGAAGAAAAGTTACTTATATGGTTACAGTTTTCAGAATCACCCCCAAACAATGGTGTTTATGGGAACTGCAGTGCAATAAAGTAACTTTCCCCAGCTCAAGTATGGGAGAGCCTCGTGTTGTTGTCAATGCCTTGACCTTGGAGCACTTTCCCACTAGAGTTTCAAGGCCCAGCATGATTTCCTATCTGGGAGGTTTCTGCAGCAGTTCCCCTGCTCCTGCCATCACAACCCTGTGTGGAAACTCACCAGAGCATACCACATGGTAGAAACTAAAATACCAGAAAATTTGCAAAATCAGCATCTATTATAAAAAGACCAGACCCAGGGAAAACAACAGCTTGTGCTTGCAGTGCAGGCAGACAAAACATGTGATTGGAAGCATGCTTGTGATTTAGTAATAAAAACAGCTCTGACCAGAGCACATGCAAATTAGAAAGTTTAGAAAAGGAAATTAGCATAAGGGATTTAGTCTTGTATGGATATTGAGACAGTTCATCTAAGCTGGACACAAAATAAGCAGAAGAAAACTATTTGTGGACGTAAGGTGGAAGAAAAATATTTTAAATTATAGTGAAACCAAAAAAGAAAAGGAAGTAATCAACTTTTAAAATCAATGAATGTATATATGTTTATAGTTTAGATTTATATGTAATTAGAATGGAGGTGTATGCTGTGTACTTTGATTATGTAATAACTGTTAGGTATGTTAGACCCCCTGGGAGCACAATGTTAGGTTGGGGTTAGTGTTAGGTTAGGGTTAAACAGCTGAGCTGCTAAACTTGCTGACCGTGGGGTCAGTAGTTCAGTTTTGGGGAGTGGGGTGAGCTCTTGCTGTTAGCCCCAGCTTCTGCCAACCTAACATTTCAAAAACATGCAAATGTGAGTAAATCAATAGGTACCGCTCTCGAGAGAAGGTAACCGCGCTCCATGCAGTCATGCTGGCCACATGATCTTAGATGCGTCTATGGACAATGCCAGCTCAGAAATGGAGATGAGCAGCAGCACCACCCCCCACAGATGGGCACAAATGTCAGGGGAAAACCTTTACCTTATGTCTGTGTTTGTGTATGCATAACTATTTTTGTTGTGTATTTATTTTTGTCCCTTTCTGTTAAAAAAAGAAAAGAAAAGCTTAGAGAAGACAATTATGCTGGGGGGAAAGGAAGGAAAAAGGAAGACGGCCGACCAAGGGCAAGATGGATGGATGGGATCCTTGGAGTGACTGGATTCATCTTGAAGGAGCTGGGGGTGGTGACGACTGACCGGGAGCTCCAGCGTGGGCTGGTCCATGAGGTGACAAAGAGTTGGAAACAACTGAACGAATGAACAATAACAACTAGGTTTAGGGTTAGGGTTAGAATTACTGTTAAGATTAGGGTTAGGGTTAAGGTTAAGGGTTAGGGTTAGGGTAAGGTTTAGGGTAAGGGTTAGAGTTTTACCATTAAAGAACTCTTACATTCCTTCTATAACAGTGGTTCTCAGCCTGTGGGTCCCCAGGTGTTTTGGCCTACAACTCCCAGAAATCCCAGCCAGTTTACCAGCTGTTAGGATTTCTGGGAGTTGAAAGCCAAAACATCTGGAGACCCACAGGTTGAGAATCACTGTTCTATAATATCTATGTTCCATTCTGCATTGCACAAACAGCACTCCCGAAGGAGTGATGTGGAAACAGTGTAATGCTCAGGGCTTCCAGACCCAGCTTTCATACTATTACCCATAACACATTAACATTGCAATACAACAGTATCAAATAACATTAAACAACACTTATAAAATACTAGCCATCCCCTGCCACGCATTGCTGTGGCCCACATGGGGGTTCTGTGTGGGAGGTTTGGCCCAATTCTATCGTTGGCGGGCTTCAGAATGCTCTGTGATTGTAGGTGAATTATAAATCCCAGCAACTACAACTCCCAAATGTCAAAATTCTATTTTCCTCAAACTCCACCAGTGTTCACATTTGGGCTTATTGAGTATTCATGTAGAGTTTGGTTCAGATCCATCATTGTTTGAGTCCACAGGGATCTATAGATGTTGGTGAACTACAACTCCAAAACCAAAGGACACTGCCCACCAAACCCTTCCAGTATTTTCTGTTGGTCATGGGAGTTCTGTGTGCCAAGTTTGGCCCAATTCTATTGTTGGTGGGGTTTATTTATTTATTTATTTATTTATTTACTTCGCTTGTATACCGCTCTTCTCAGCCCTTAGGCGACTCAGAGCGGTTAACAACAAATTCGAATATACACAGTAGAAAATCATTAAACATTTAAAAGCAAGTGAGTAAACATCAAACATCAATACATCAATTTAACAATCCATCACGTCTCATTAATAAAATCAGAATCCAGTCTCCATATCCATTTTCTGTGTTCCAATAATCAATTCAATTGCACTGCCTAGTTGAATGCCTGTTTGAACAGCCAGGTCTTCACTCTCCTCCGGAATGCCAGTAGGGAGGGGGCCGATCTAATGTCCGTAGGAAGGGCGTTCCACAGCCGAGGGGCCACCACTGAGAAGGCCCTGTCTCTCATCCCCGCCAAGCGTGCTTGTGAAGCTGGCGGGATCGAGAGCAGGGCCTCCCCAGACGATCTTAGTGTCCTAAGATCGTTCAGAATGCTCTTTGATTGTGGGTGGACTATCAATCACTCCCAAACAACTCCCAAATGACGAAATCATTTTTTTTAATGAAGGGCATACATTGGGTTGTTAGGTGTCTTGTGTCCAAATTTGGTGTCAATTCCTCCAGTGGTTTTTGAGTTCTGTTAATCCCACAAACGAACATTACATTTTTATTTATATAGAAGATAAAAACACGAGGCTGGCCTTCTCTCAGTCTCAGGGAAAGGCAGAAGCAGACTCCCTCTGGCCAAATCTTACCAAGAAATCACCCTTATAGGGTGGATACAAATTGAAAAGGACAGGCACAACATATTGTGAGAAGGGGTTCTACATTTCTCCTGGGAACTGCAATGCCGCCATGGGCCAGCAGGGGCCGCTCTCCCTCCAGGCCCGGTTTCATGAATGAAGGCGCACGTGACCCAGACGCTCCGCCCCCTTCCCGCCCTCTTCCTTCGGGGAAGCGAGTCCTCACGCGCTCGCTGCCTCTCCTCAGCTGCAAAATGCCCCTCTTCGGTCTCTCCAAGGAAGCGGCGGTGGGGACGGCGGTGCTGGGGGTCGTCGCTGCCGCGGGCTTCTTCGCAGGTAAGAAAGAATACCCTCGAGGCGCACGCCCTCCGCCTAGACAGCCAGGGAACTCGGAAGAGGCTCCTTGAGTAGTGGGGCGCTCTCCATGCCTGGGCTCCCTGCTACTTGGAGAATTCCCACTCAGGCGGAAAGACTACACCAACTCTTGGGCCTCCACTCCCCCAATTTCTCTCCGTGTGGCCTGAGGCTTTTTGGCACTGAAACCTGCAATGGCATTAGCAGTTCAATGGTTCAGAGTCCAGATTCCCTGGGCTTGTAATAGGATGGACCTGGGCCAGGTCTCTTTGCCTTTACAAGCAAGGGCAGGTGAGGCTATGGCACAGGAATCCCTAGTGTGTTGTCGAAAGCTTTCATGACCGGAATCACTGGGTTGTTGTTGGTTCTCAGAGGTTGTGAGTATGGCCATGTTCTAGAAGCATTCTCTCCTGACGTTTGGCCTGCATCTATGGTAAGCATCCTCAGAGGATGTGAGTATGGCCATGTCCTAGAAGCATTCTCTCCTGACGTTTCGCCTGCATCTATGGCAAGCATCCTCAGAAGTTGTGAGTATGGCCATGTTCTAGAAGCATTCTCTCCTGACGTTTTGCTTGCATCTATGGCAAGCATCCTCAGAGGTTGTGAGGACCTCACAACCTCTGAGGATGCTTGCCATAGATGCAGAGGAAACGTCAGGAGAGAATGCTTCTAGAACATGGCCATACTGCCCGAAAAACCTACAACAACCCAATCCCTGGTGTGCATGGAATTACTGTGTTTCTCATAAGTTTCTCCCAACTTACTAATGCGATCCCTCATAGCTCAAAAATGATAGTCTTCCAGATGTGGTGTCTTGGTGGTGGGTCCATAGGTGGGTATGGAGCCCTATTCTCGATCCACATGTTCTCCCACAGTGAGGACATTGGTTTCCAGATAGAAGACGGTCCCAGGCATGGTTGTCTTGGTGCGCCTTCCTATTGGCACGCTTCTTCCTTACGTCGTCCTTTTGTGCCTCTTTGAATTCTTCAGCACTGCTGGTCACAGCTGACCTCCAGTTAGTGCTCAAGGACCAGTGCTTCCAAGTTGTCGGTGTCTATGCCACAGTTTTTAAGATTGGCTTTAAGTCCATCTTTAAATCTCTTTTCCTGTCCACTAATGTCACATTTCCTGTTCTTGAGTTGGGAGTATAGTAGCTGCTTTGGGAGATGGTGATCAGGCATTCAGACAATGTGGCCAGCCCAGCGGAGTTGATGACGGAGGAGCATCGCTTCAATGCTGGTGGTCTTTGCTTCTTTCAGCACGATGACAACAAGGGAGGAAGCACAAGGTTGCCATATGTAAGCCATCCTGAGTCCCCCTCCGGGGTAGAAAAGAGACGTGGTAGAAATACTGTAAATAAATAAATAAGGTCTGGACACCAGTGGAAGCCTTTAGTGAGCCGAGTGTCAGAATAATAATAATAAACATTATTTATAATCCACCTCCATCTCCCCAACGGGACTTGGGGTGGCTAACATGAGGCCAAGCCCAAGAATTACAATCAAGCAAAATAAAATACAAACAGGAAATAATAAACATTGAAGTGACATGCGTACAATAGCAAAATATGCAATAAAACAGATGCAAAATCAAATGGTAAAATAGTTAAGAAGCAGTAGCCATTGGCTTTCAGGAAGCAGGAAATTATTATTGTTATCAATTTTATTTCTGTCCCACCATTATGGCTCACAGTCCTTCCCTTTTATTAATTAGCTCCAAAACCTTTGGAGCAGTGGTTCTCAACCTGTGGGTCCCCAGGTGTTTTGGCCTACAACTCCCAGAAATCCCAGCCAGTTTACCAACTGTTAGGATTTCTGGAAGTTGAAGGCCAAAACACCTGGAGACCCACAGGTTGAGAACCACTGCTTTAGAGCTTTTTATCCAGTCAGACACTGAAGGCAGGAGACAAGTATAGTTGACGAAGTCACTTGATGGCTGAACAACTAAGAAAACGGGCCACACCAAATTGAGGTGCAGTTTGGTTGTATAGTTAGAGGTTTTTGAGCACGTGGAAAGTTCCGTGAACCTTTTCTTCCTTTTTTTCTCTTATCAGCAGTTTGCACTCCTTCTCAATAGTTTGCAGTTCTTCTCCTCCCTCTCCCCCCCTCTTGTTGAGCTCTCTGTTTCCCCTTCAAGGCTCTCTCTTTCTCTCTTCAGGTCATAAAGTCCTCCTCTGAACCTTTTTGCCACTTTCATCTGCCTCAGGCCCCATCTACACTGCCATATAAAATCAAGATTATCTGCTTAGAACTGGATTATATTATGTTCAAAGCACATAATGTTGATTATCTGTTTTGATAACCTGGATTATATGGCAGTGTAGTAGGTGCCTCAGGCATGGATAAACTTCAACCCTCCAGGTGTAGGAATTGTGGGAGTTGAAGTCCAAAACACCTGGAGGACCAAAGTTTGCCCATGCCTGTTCTGACTCAGTTGTCTATCTAAGGGCCCTTCCGCACAGCCCTATATCCCAAAATATCAAGGCAGAAAATTCCACAATATTTGCTTTGAACTGGGTTATCTGAGTCCACACTGAAATAATGTGGAATTGCCTGCCTTTATGGGATATAAGACTGTGTGGAAGGGCCCTTATGCCCTTTCCACATAGCTGAATAAAATCCCACATTATCTGCTTTGAACTGGGATATATGGTAATGTGGACTCAGATAACCCGGATCAAAGCAGATATTGTGGTTTATTCTGCCTGACTATTCTGGGATTTGTAGTTGTGTGGAAGGGCCCTAAGGTTCCTGCTGTGCTGCTGTTTTGACTAGCAGAGTGATAGAATGAACTTTAAATTTTCTTTCAAATCCTCCAATTCTTCCCCTCCCTCCTGTCTCAATCTTCCTTTTCCAACTTTCTTAAAACTTCATTCTTATAATATCTTATTCTCTTCACCACATTTCTCCTTGTAGGTACTCAAGACAACTAACATATATACACATCTAATAAAATCTTAAGACAGAAACTGTACAAAAAATTAGAAAAAATAATTAAACATTGGGGAGTGGGTGGATACAAACATTAAAATACAAGAAATACCATTAGCATTACAATCAAAGCCCACCATTCCCCTCAAAATCCTGCACAAATACTCACACCCCTCCTATTACAATGCAGAGCTCTTAATCTGTTGTGTGTTCTGCCCACCTTTGAATTTCAGGGGGTATGAACAGAATTGGAAACATCATTTTTAATTTACTTTAGTGGTCTTAAAAGGACTAGGTAAATTGCAGAGAGGGCAAAGTCCTGAAGACCTTTCAATCATCTACTGGCTGAGAGTATAAGATCCTTAGACATTCACCCAGCCAGACAATAGCCTATTTATCAGAACCCAAAGTCCCCTATGTAAGTGCACACTTCTGAATCCACTGGCAATGTAATATTGGGAAAGGGCATTTTCAGGGTAGCCCAAGCTCTTGTGCTGGGCCTGGATGGAACTCAACCATCTCCAGATGTCATCCTGGACAAATGGAACTCACTGTAGGAGATGCAGGTTGCCTCTTGCTCAGGGTTTTACTCACATTTTGCCAAACAGTCCATGGCTCGGCTGCTTTTAAATATTGTTGTACTTTTCAAAGTGTAAGCGGTTTCTGCTGGAACATGATGGTGATGTAGAAGGCCTGGCACGGTCCCATTTATGTTTGGTTGTTATGAAACATTTCAAAACTATTTGTTGCAAAGGTGTGTAGTTGGGACTGATTGAGACAGAAAGTCATTTTGTTTGATGGATTTGTTGCTCAGTTTGTTTCTTCTTTTTAAAGGCAGACGATCCCGTTCGAGGTTTGTTTTTGGCACACCCAAAGGTTCACCCAATCTGTTGCAGCAGTATGTACTGGATCATTCCTTACGGGAGCATCCTGCTCTGACCAAGCTGAAAATGGTTAGTGTGTCTGACTTGAGTCCACTTTGTGGTTGCCCAAATTGTTTATTTCCTTTCCCCTTTTTATGGGATGCATTTTCTTGTATTTATGATAGTTCAAGAACAAACATTCCAAAGTATCAGAAAGAGCTTTATTATGAATGTAATTTTCTTGATTGGTTAGAGGACAGATAGGGACATTCCTAAACCCTTTCCCAAATTCTCAGACCTCCCCATATATTTCTAAGTGGTGAATGGAAGAGAGGAAGCAAAACTGACTCAAACCCAGCTCAATACCACACCCCAATATGCCCACACTAAATTCATAATAGCCAAATCCCTCCTCCCAAAAAACTCCCAGCAAATACTACACCCGAAAGTAATACTACACCTATATCATCATTTGGGAGGCCCCCCCCCCCCCCCCCCCCGGGCACCAACTGCTGTTCTGGCCAGGGTAAAGAGAGAGGGGGCTACAGTTAATATAATAATAATAATAATAATAATAATAATAATAATAATAATAATAATAATAATAATAATCTTTATTTATACCCCGCCACCATCTCCCCAAAGGGGACTCGAGGCGGGCTTACATGAGGCCAAGCCCAGTAGTGCATTACCACAAAATAAAACCAAAAACACAAAACAAACATCACAATAAAATAAATAAAACATAAGAATACAATAAAACAGTGCCGTTGAAGACAGTTCCGTCTTGTTTCCTGTGCTTTACTAATACTATAATATATTGTATATACATATAATATTTATAATATTATAATGTAATACAATATAATGCTAATAATACAATATTATAATTATATATTTTATATTACATGTAATATTACTAATAATATTACAATATAATGGTGTAGTACAATACAGTAATATATAATACTGATATTGTACTATGCTGATAATTTAATGTATTGTATGTATATATATCTTGTAAGCCACTCTGAGTCCCCTTCAGGCAGCATATAAATGTAATAAATAAATAAATAATATGAAACCACTTTGGGTCACATTGGCTGCCTCAGCAGATACGGTGATCATAAATAGTCTCACCCCACTCTCCAGTTGCTTTGCATTGTCCTGTGTTAAAATCGTAATCTTTTGTGATATGCTTGTATTTAATTATATGAATCACTTATCCCCCTTAAACCAGCTTCCAAAATAATGCCATAAAACAGAAAAATATCAAGCAATACAAATTGCAAGCATAACAGATACAATTCCAGCTTAAATAAAGCAAAATAAGCATGCTAAGATAAAGAAATACATTTGTACTAAAAAGTAAAGAAAAATGGAATTGGGAAAGTGTCTCTTCGAAAGAAATTTCAACACCCTGGTGTCACAGTTGGAATGACCTTGTTTCTAGTAATCACCTATTTTTCTTTGAGTGGGCAGAACACAGCCTTTGAGTCTTGTGGGTAAACAGACAACCTTCTAAGCACCCTGGTGGTCTCCAGCTGTGTTGGATTTGATAAGTTGATATAAACTGCTTGAATTCTGCTAACAAGATATGTTCCCAAATATGCTCAGAATTAGTAAACATGTTGCATTTTATGTTGGCTGCAGTTTTTGGATCTTTTAAGGCAGTGGTTCTCAACCTGTGGGCCCCCAGATGTTTTGACCTTCAACTCCCAGGCATCCTAACAGCTGGTAAAGTAGCTGGGATTTCTGGGAGTTGTAGGCCAAAACACCTGGGGACCCACAGGTTGAGAACCACTGTTTTAAGGCAACACACTGCAGCAACATGTTAAGATGGATAAGGGGATGCTGCACTAAGTATGAATTGCCTTGTGCCACTCAGCCTACTCAGGTCATTTGAGGAGGAGGCAACATTTATCTAAAACATCCCAACCTGTGAGTCTGCTTTATCAAGGGGAGTGAACATTGTATCTAGTTAACACAACTGTCCAGCTGCAACATGTAATCTAGATGTTTCCCGAGCTTTCAGGAAACAAGTGAAGACCTATCCCTTCTGGCAGGCTGACCCAGACAGTTTCCATTACGAATTTTAAACTTGTATCTTACATTTAATCTCAATTGTGTGTGTGTGTGTGTGTGTATAGGAAATATGTTTTAATACGTGTATTTTAAATATTGTTTTTAGTTGAATGTGTGTTTTAAAATGTTGTAATCAACTTTGAGTGGTGAAGAGAGTCGGGTGAAAATATATATTATTATTGTTGTTGTAACCGACCTTGAGTGGTGAAGACAGTTGGGTAAAAATATATTATTTACCCCCACGCTCTCTGACTCTGAAGGTGACTCAGAGTGGCTTCCAAGTTAGCAATATTCAATGCTGTACACCCAACAAACAGATATAATATACACATACATTCTTATTTGGCAGTATAGATGGGTCCCTAATCCAACACAGAGTTCTTGATCCATTATGTGTTTTTCCCACTTTTGAAGCTCAGTGGTCCTAGAGGATATGACCAGGACTGGAAGCATCATGTTTAATCTATTCTAGTTATCTTAAAAGAGCTAGGTAAATAGTATTATTATGTTGCAAATTTCTGATTGGGGGATGCTGAGAAGCCATGTGTAAAACTAGTTCTTTCCAACCCCAGATGCCATAATATCCTAACCAAAGTTACTCCTCTAAGTATTTACGTTATGGAGGATGAGGTGGAATTACAGGCTTCCAAAGAGCTCCACAGGCTCCCAGATTTTGTGGTGTCATTTTATCTCTATGCCCCCATTCTCAGCCTTTTAAGAACTAGAAGGACTGGAACTTTTCTGTTTCCTTTCCCTTGCAATCTGAGCACTGCCTAGTCTATAAAGCCCTAAACAGTTCTGGCCCAGCTTACCTGCCCGAATGTATCTTTCCCTATGACCCATTTAGGAATGTAAGATCATCTGAGGAAGCCCTATGCTTGACTCAGCCTTCTTTGCAGGGGCGTCTGGCGGGGATGAGGGACAGGGCCTTCTCAGTGGTGGCCCCTTGGCTGTGGAACTCCCTCCCCAGGGGTAGTAGATCGGTCCCCTCCCTCCTGACCTTCCAGAAAAAATTAAAAACCTGACTCTTTGTACAGGCCTTTGAAAATGCAATACAATAGACAAACATGGGATTATGTAAGATTGAAACATGGAATGGCTTAGACAGTGCTACTGAAAATGTGATTAACAGGAAGACATTGGTTATTATATGTTTTTAATCGTTTTTGTATGGATTTTATAATTTTGTTTTAAATGTTTTAATTGTAAGCCACCTTCTGTCAACTTCAAGCTAAGAAAGGCAAGATAGAAATATCGTAAATAAATAAATAGTTCTCACTGGGTTAGTCAGCCTGTTCCTTCACTGGTTTAAACTATATATGGATGCTCACATGATCAAGTGCTCCTCTGTACATAAAGTTGTCTGTCCATAGAAAATGAAGTGGTGGAAAGATGTTTTAAGAGATTATTTCCTGAAAAAGAGTTTATTTTGCCCTAGAGTGTGTGATGCAACAATTATTATAAGGCTTTCTGAACTATGGAGCAGAATTTCTGAGTAGATACAGAATTCTCCATCCCTCAAAAATGACACAGTAACTTCAGGAGATGCCTACCCAGACTTTAAGAGCTTTATTTCCTAGGTTACCGCGGAGCGTCAAGACAAAAGGATGATGGTGAGCCGCGATCAGGCCCAGCTTATGGCCAACCTGGCAAAGCTGATTAGAGCAAAGAAGGTAATTGAAGTTGGTAAGCACATTTATTTCTATAGTACTGGGGCCTAGGAATGTCCATAATAAATTGAAGAATTTATGAGAAAAGGAAATAGAACTTCTCTCTAGCACTGAAGCCATGCCCAATCCCAGGAGGATCTGCCCTTCGTTCTTCCAGAAATGACTCAATTGCTGATCTAAAACATTGCACTGCCTGTTCCCTTGGCATTGAAACAAGAATGTATGTATGTGTATTTTATAAGACTCTCCAGAAAATAATATAAATCAAGGTAATATGTTCTCTAATGGAGTAAATTGTCTAGACTTTATAGCATTTATAGCATTTAACAGTAATGTTATCAGCACATTATAAGTAAATGTAGGTTATCTTATCAACATAGAGTAATGAATAGTAGACCAGAGATAATAAAGTCCATCCTTCCTGGAGTCAGATTTCAGTGCAGGAATTCAACAGTCTCTGTCTTTATCCTCAAAAGAATTCTTCTTTTAGCAACACAGTCTTTAAGGAGTACTTCTTATGCAGCAGAGTCTTCCTTAGGTAACACAATTTCACAATTTCAACAAGGTCTCCCGGTATGTTCTCCTTGTTTCGAAAAATTATCTTCTTCAGGATGTTATCACATATATATAATGCACTAAATAAAGGAGTAAAAATAACATACACAATAGATACATGAAACTCCCCAATTCACATTTCTAGTGAAACATTCTATAATAACAATAAAGAAACATGCTACTCTACTTACACTCTCTTTACACTCTCTTCAATAGTACAGGCTCTGTTCTGGAGGAGTTCTATAACGAGCAATGAGTCATACCTAGGCTACCTCTTAAGTAGAACTACATTTCACAAGAAACAAGTGTATTCAATTTTATCATTTAGTCCTTGTGGAACCAGTGTTTGTAGTTTAAAGATCCAAAAAGATTCTCTTTGTAGAAGGAGTTTTTTTACATCTGCATTAGGTCTGGGTAATATTTTTTCTAAAGCGCAAAATTTAAAGCTATGGTGTGTATGAGCTTTTTCATTGAAATGTACATATAGTGAGAGTCAGTGGACCCATTCCTTATGCGTGAACGATGTTCATTTATCCTGGTTTTAAGGGGTCTAGTAGTCATTCCAACATATAATAGCTTGCAGGAGCATTCTAATAGGTAAATTACATTATCAGTGGAACATGTTGTTAAATGTTGCAAGGTAATCTTGATGTTAAGTGTTGGATGAGAGTATATTTTAATCTTGAGTGATTGTTGACAACAGTTACAGTGTCCACAGCTAGTGTGACCCCTAGTGGTAAGATTGTGGGATGTAGTAGGAGAGTTATATTCAGAATGGATCAAAAGGTCCCTTAAATTTCTGGATCTTTTGTGTGCAATTATAGGTTTGTCTTTGCATCCAGGAATGTCCTGTAGTAAATGCCAATGTTTTGAAATAATTTTAGTGATTTTAGATGAATATTGTGTGAGTGTCAAAGGCCATATTATGCGGTTATTATGTTTTCTAGGGCGTTCCCGTAGTAACTCCCCTCTATTGATGGAGTTCGCCTTACTCATGGCTGTGTTGAGTATCTTATTAGGATATCCTCTCTTTCTGAGTTGTTTCTTCAGGATACCTGCTGTGGATTCAAAATCCTTTTGTGTGCTAGAATTACGTTTCAGTCTTAAAAACTGAGAAAATGGTAAATTAGATTTAAGAGAAAAGTGATGAAAGCTGGAAAAATGTAAAATAGAATTCTTATCTGTAGGTTTGCTATAATTTTTAACTAATAGTTTCTGGCCATTTTTGAAAACCATGATGTCCAAAAAGTTAATATTAGTAGGGCTACAGTGATGTGTAAATTTCATGTGTTTATGTAGTGTATTGATCCAGCTGCAAAATAGGTCCGCTACTGGCTGTGATCTCACTACTATAAAAATATCATCTAGATATCTTCCAAAATAAAGGATATCTGAAGAAAATGGATTCTTAGTAGTATTGAAAATGAATTTACTTTCTAAGTCTGCGACGAATAAGTTGGCTATAGCGGGTGCGAGTGGGCTGCCCATAGCGATTCCGAATGTCTGTAAATAAAACTGTTTATCAAAACTAAAATAGTTGTATTCTAGCACAATATCTAATAGATCCATGAGGAAGTGAGTGGGGGGAACTGGAGATTTGTGTGTGTCTAGTATATCTTTAACCACTGTTCTGGCCTCATCTAGAGGTATGTTTGTATATAGGGCTTCAATGTCTAAGGTCATGAGTATGGCTTGCTCAGGTATAGTGAGAGCTTCTATTATATTGATAAAATGTTTGGTGTCTTTGATAAATGATGTGTTCAATGGTACAAAGGGTTGTAAGAAATAGTCAATGAACTGAGCTAAAGGTTCCAAAATAGATGCTGTACCTGAGACGATAGGTCTACCTGGTCACCTTAGACATTGAAGCCCTATATACAAACATACCTCTAGATGAGGCCAGAACAGTGGTTAAAGATATACTAGACACACGCAAATCTCCAGTTCCCCCCACTCACTTCCTCATGGATCTATTAGATATTGTGCTAGAATACAACTATTTTAGTTTTGATAAACAGTTTTATTTACAGACATTCGGAATCGCTATGGGCAGCCCACTCGCACCCGCTATAGCCAACTTATTCGTCGCAGACTTAGAAAGTAAATTCATTTTCAATACTTAAGTCTCAAAAATGTGGCTTCTACAAAGAGAAGCAATAGCCTCTTAAGAAGAAAAAGAGAGGTTCAAAAACATCTGGAAGGTTGGTTCAAAATTGTTTTTTTTTTTAAGAGACTTCACTCTCTTATGTCAAAAGGAGACAAGCTACGTTTCTATACCATTGCGAATGGGACTTAAAATTCTAGGGCACTCACTCTTTATCACCAAAAGTAATAATTTTCTTTTGCAATAGGTGTTTATACAGGGTACAATACTTTAAACATGGCTTTGGTCATACCAGATGACGGCAAAGTTGTTGCCTGTGATGTAAATGAAGAGTCTGCCAACCTTGGAAAGCCAGTGTGGAAAGAGGTAATTAAGTAATGTACCAATAATGTTAAGTGCACCAGAGAACTGTGGGCACTGAAACTATGTATGCTAGTAGAGACCTGCACTATGCACCATCTGGCCTTTTTATTTTGAAATGAGTGCATTTCTCTTTGAGGTGGAAACTTTATCTTCTAAGCTTTGAAATCCTCCTCCCTCCTCCTATCTATGTTTCTCTTGGATTGAACCCAAAGTTAGAATAGGTTTACTAAAGGCAACAAGATCTGAGTCACCCACAATTATAAAAAATATTCTTCATTTCTTTATCTTCAGTATAACTCACTCTGGATTTGACTTCTTAAGTCAATCACCCCCTGAAAGTGTTATTGAGGGAGATACAGTAATAAGCCATTTTAGTTCATGCTGTGAAATGTTTTCCCACTAATTTTGCATGTTTTAGGATAGATAATTGTTTTTATACTTTATCAGGAGACCTTGTACCATATATACTCAAGTATAAGCCAGCCTGAATATAACTTAATTTCACCCCAAAAACTGAGAAAATGTTTTGACTCGAGTATTAGTCAAGGGTGGGAAATGCAACAGCTTCTGATAAATTTCAAAAGAAAAATAGATACCAATAAAATCACATTAATTGAGGCATCAGTAGATGAAATGTTTTTGAATATTAACATAAAACTGTAATTTAAGATAAAACTGTCCAACTCTTATTAAACTATTATTCTAACCTTCTTCAATGTAAATGCACTTATATAAAAGGTAAACGTTTCCCCTTGATATTAAGTCTAGGCGTGTCCGTCTCTGGAGGTGGTGCTCATCTTAATTTCTAAGCTGAAGAGCCAGCGTTGTCCGTAGACACCTCCAAGATCATGTGACCGGCATGACTGCATGAAGCGTAGGCTAACTACATCTGGTCCACAAAAATCTATGAAAGGAAAGGTGTTTTTCATTAAGAAGTAATCCATGGAATCTCTTGTTTAAAATATCATATATCAAACCTTGGTTTTCTGCCCCGTGTTATCTTAATAGTTTTTTTAATTGTTTGCTTTGTATTGGGAGGCTAATTAAATAAAGTGATTTTGACAGTTATTCATTGTAAATGAATAAATCATGATACTGATTTCTTCCAATTCTAGTTCCTAAATCTTATGTTTAACTTCTGCATTAATTTGGGAATCTGAAAAATTAGATGAAATACTGGAAACATTTTACAAAGCAACCAATAAATTAATCCCAAATTCTACTCTAAACTAGGCTTCTGCATTGCAGCTGAACTTCAATCCATTTCTGCTGGCCAGATACTGGTAGACCCCATATCCATTTTTGCATACCCCTCAAAAACGGATGGGTAGCTGGATAGCCATTTTAGGTCTGCAGCCATAAATACGGCTAGATCTGGCCCACTGGCAGCAATGGAGAACTTATGAACCTCCCCTTTTATTTTCTGGGACCCTTTCCTTTTTTCCTTCAAGGGAGACTGGGTGTGAGCAATATGGTTAAGAAAACACCCTATCTGGTCCATTATGGGGGGGGGGGCTTCCCACAGACTCCCCTTCCATATTTTTCATTAAGACCTGGATTACAAGCATCAGAGTTAAGATGCCATTCTTTCTGCAATCCTTTCCCTTCTGTCTGTAGAGGAGACCAGGTTTAATGCTTAGTTAAAGCTGCTTATTTCTACTCTAGAGGAGACAGGCTGCAGGTGGGCGCTTTCTCTCCACATGCAGCTTTCCAAAGCATTTAAGGAAGCTTCCCGCTTCCCAGGGAAGAAAGAGCAATTGACCTGGAGCTATCCTCCCTGGGCTTCCTTTTTTAAAAAAAACTCTCTTTTTTCTCTACTGCAGGCCCTTCCTTGATTGGGCACGCTTCAATCTCCTTTCTGCTTTGAGATTAATGCTTCCTTAAAGCTGTTTCTACTTTCTACTCCAGAGGAGAGGTAACTAGGTGGTAATCGTTTTCAGAGAACGAGGGTTTCTTTTTGTTTGCTGGAATACTATCTTTTAGAAGTATTTCAAGGAGAGAAAAGGAAGGAGAAAAAGAGCTAAAAAGGTGACTCTTCCAAGCCAGCCACCCACCCATCCCTGCACGTCCCCAACTCCCAGTCAGTCCCACTAAACAAAAAAATCAGAAAAGGAAAATCAAAAAGAATAAACTGGGGTGCCGAATGGCAGGGAGGAGCCGAGATCGGCTGCCTTTTGGTACCGTTTCGGACGGGATTCTGTGACGGCTGGGCCCTTGCCGTTACGGGCACCTGAACCAATTGAAAAAGCCAAATTGGCTGAAGGAAACAACTAAAACAGATTTGTGCTCAAGCCTACTCTAAACTATCTAGCAGGAATCCAGCACAGGTTTTGTTTGCACAATCTAAAGGCTGCATGTTGGAACATGTATTGGCATTCCTTTGAAGGCTGGTGAAAATGAATGTTATATAAACACCCTGTTCAATGTATAAATGAATGCCCCTACTTGTAGCTATTGGAAGTGCTATATAGCACTCCACTCTTGCATTCTTTTCTCTGCTAGTGGTGCATTAGATTTAGACATTGTTATCTTTGCTCAAGCTACTGTATTTCTTTTGTTGCAGGCATATATACTGGGTGCTATCCTTCAAAGGTTAATTATGTGAAAATCCTATTTTAATGCAAAGATTGAAGCTGGTGCTTAACTCATCTGTTGTAATCAGTCTCTGAAACATTCAGTAGAATCATGTCACTTTCCTGGTCATTTATAGCACAGTGTTGTTGGCTTTTTTTATCACAGATAGTTAAAATTTCCCCCTTTACCCAAAGTGTAGCTGCTCTAAGGGAGTTTGTATCTGTGAAATCATGCTGTATGTTGTGCATGCTCATCTGAGAACTGACTTTCCTTTGATGGATGCTGTCCTTTTGTTCTTGAAATAATGTGTTTTTAAAAATGTGTGAAGGTCTTGGCAGTCTGCACAATATATTGGTGGAACAACGTGAATACTGTATTATAGTTTCTGACCCGTGAGTATAACAGTGTATTATAGTTTCTGACCCATGAGTATAACCCCAAATGTCTGGGCTTTATTGGCTTTTTACTCTTCAAAATTTGATTGTCAAATATGGGGACTTTAATTTTAGCCTTTGCGTTTGAGAACCACTTTCCTGATCATTTGTGGGAATTTTAAATGCTTATAAAATATACATTGGTTTTTGTGTTGTTGGTGGGTGATGATTTAATGTTTCAGAAAGGGTCTTTCTTGTGCTCAACTTTCACAGGCCAAATGAAGATCCCTTAAATTTCAGTTTAAATCAGAGTAAACAAAATCCTGCTATGTCCAGCAGCAATGGGGACATTTCATATGGGAAAGCAAAACGTTGTCCAGCTTCTCATCTGAAAATAGTCATCATTTTACCCTTTGAGGTGGTGAAATAATATTTTCTTCTTCTTTTTTTCAGGCAGGAGTGGAGCACAAAATTGACCTCAGGATAAAGCCAGCCAGCCAAACACTAGGTAAATACATATGCATGAAAACAATAGGCTATAAAGGAGAATGTCCATTGTGCAAAAACTAATAGGAATTCAGGAGAAATGAAAATTGGTGTGGCTACACCACTGATAGTTGTGGATTTTTTAAAAAATGGGAAGAAAAAATCCCACTTCTCAGGTTTCATGAATAAAGGCTCGCTTTTTTCAATGAATTCTGAACAACCTTCTGAAAATTACTAGATGGAATTTGCTATTTTTTTATTAAATTAAGTTTAGTTTCTGTTTAGCTTCCTAAAGATGTAGGGAGCATATAATGTAGGCCATTTTGGTACAAAGTGTCTTAACACTATAACAAAATTTGGAAAAAAAATTGTTCCTGGTTTGAAAGTGTTATTTTCTGTTTAATTGTGCGGTACTTACTTTGAAAGTAGTTGTTATACTCCAGAAACTTGGTTTTTGTTTTTTATCCTATTACCTGATACCCAAAAGTTTGTGATTTTTCTTAATGAAAATAGGCCTTAAGGTCCTTCAGGGAGGCCCTTCTCATGGTCCCACTACCCTCACAAGTGCGACTGTTGGGAACTGTTGGCTTGAACTGGTTTTGCCATGTTGTACAATATGGTTTCAAATCCAGTAAAAAAAGTAAATTGTGCATTTTACTATGATATTGTTATTTTTAGGTTGCTATGTTTTTGATATTGCCATTTATGTATTATGTATTTTTTTATTTTTGCTCTGGTTTGTGCTATGACTTATTTTCTGTAAGTCACCCTGAGTCCTGTTTGGAAAAGGGGTAGGATATAAATAAAGTTTATTATTATTTATTAACCTTTCAAAACACATTTTTGCAGTTTAACACATTTTTTCAATATTTTGTGATAGAACCAATTAGGAAATGGCATTTATAATCCAAGAACAAAAATCATGTTACATAGTGTAATATTTCTTGTTGAGAAACCACATAAAGTGTTAACTACCTCAATAACTAGATAAGAGTGAGAACACCAGTTTTGCACCCCTGCAAAAACACATTTTTTTAAAAAAATGATATTGCAAGCTGCAACTAATGTGGAAAAACCCTCAAAATTTGTCCTTCCATGAGTAGATGAAGTTAGCAAAACAGCTACACCTACAACAGCAACAATTAGCTCTCTGTTTCTAAATGAAAGAGTTGAAGAAATCTGCCAAACCCACTTGAGTCTATCCACATTTAGTTTATTAAGAAATGTTAGTTGCTTCTATATCAAAGTATTTAGGGCCAGTTTGCTGAATAATAGAACCTCTTCTGGTTTGCCTACCATTCTGGTTCTAGGGTGCCTGCTGTATGAAGGGAAAGGAGCATTATGCTAATTTGGGGCATTTCTAGGCTGTTTTGTCACAATTAGGGTTGTTGTTCTCAACTTGTGGGTCCTCAGATGTTTTGGCCTCCAACTCCCAGAATCCTAACAGCTGGTAAACTGGCTGGGATTTCTGAGAGTTGTAGGCCAAAACACCTGGGGACACACAGGTTGAGAACCACTGTGATAGGGCTTGTGCATTTCAGTTCTCCGATCCACATCATCTTTCTGTATCATAGTTGTATACTTTCTCCACTTGAACATTTCTCTCCCCATTAACCTGGTATAGAGAAGCAAAGCATAGGCAAATTTTGTAGTTTCCAGATTTCAACTGTTGTTACCTTTTCTATGTCTAGATGGCCTTCTGGCAAATGGTGAAGCTGGAACCTTTGATTTTGCTTTCATTGATGCTGACAAAGGAGGCTACAGTGATTACTACGAGAAATGTCTACAGCTTATAAGAAAAGGGGGGATAATTGCTATTGACAATGTAAGTACTATTTTCATAAATAGAAAACATTTTATGCCATTACAGAACACCATAGGAGCTTCCAACATTTTGGGGACCCATTGGAACATTTGGTAGTAGTTACACCTGTTGGGTTTCTTCATCAGCTTCCCTATGTGGTCCATGGTTCCCTTGATGTATGATAAGAGTGCTTTTCCTCTGGGTGGATCTTTGTCTTTACTCTTGTGGCTTGTTCTTGGCCTTGCAGCTCCTCTGATGTCTGTGGTGGAGTATCCATTGGCCAGTAGTATCAACTGGCCACCAATGCTAATCAAGATGGTCAATTGCAACATTCACACTTGTCTCTAACAGACAAAAGTTCTTTCTCTCACCCTGGACATTCCACAGATATATAAACTTCACCTGCCTAGTTTCCAACAGACCCCCTCAATCTCTGAGGATGTCTGCCATAGATGTGGGTGAAATGTCAGGAAAGAATGCTTATGGAACATGCCCCCCAGAAAACTCACAGCAAGCCAGTGATTCCGGCCATGAAAGCCTTCAACAACACAGAGATAATAATAATCATCATTAACAACATTGAAAGTACAAGGGAACAATTAAAAGCTGTACTTTAGTTTGTTAGAAATACTAGAACAGCAGTTCCCAAACCTTTCTCCTGCAGAACCCTAACTCCAACCCTCCCTAAGCATTGTGAACCTACAAAGTTCTTCCTTCTTTCATTTACTCCAATTGCCTGGATGTTTTATAGACTGTGGGTTTGCAAATAAAGAGATTCAAATGTTTGGTTGTTTTTTAAAAATCAGAGGTACATTGAATTTCAGTAAGATCATAATCTGGCATGGACTTTGAAAAAAGTTTTTTTTTTAAATGTTGAAGTTTTGCTTTGTTTTGTGGGGGTTTTTTTGGATTGGTTTTAGTTTTTGTTTTTTTGACAGAACCCTTATGGTGCTTTTTGTGGAACCCTAGGTTTCCACCAAACACAGTTTGGCCATATATGGTCTGTATGTTTGCCTATTTAATTATAGAAAAGAATGAAGGCTGCAGTCCTATATGAAGGGAAGAAAGGGAGAGAGAAAATGCAAATGAATATGAAAGTAAACCTCAGTTGAATCAGTGCAGGTTAGGTCTGTCTCACATGTTTAGGGGTTTGCTGCAGATGACCAAATGCCCAGTTTCACACATGCAGATGAACATCATGATCATAAAAAGTGTCTGTCTCTCTCTCCTTCAACCATTTTGTTTCACCCTCTAACAGGTTTTGTTATCGGGAAAGGTACTTAACCCAGAAAAATATGGTGGTGAAGTCCAGAGCATGCACGAGCTAAATAAAAAGATCTTCCATGATCCACGAGTGACCATCAGCATGATCTTGATGGGGGATGGAGTGACATTAGCATTTAAGCTGTAATGGAGAAAGCAATGAAGATTATGGCACATGAAGAAGCCCCCGGAAACATCCACCCCCAACTCAGCAAGGATAATGTCGAGGAATACAAGATGTCTGTTTTGACCTTGCCTCCACCAAATACCTTAGGACAGAAATTATGTTATAAACTAAAGAGGGGCAAATGGTCGCTTGATCTGATGTTTAAGTCCCTACAATCATGACCAACTCTTTCTTAGGGCACAGAGAAATTGTGCATCTCAATATAAATTTTCACAGATAAATGGGGTGAGTGTTTTTGTTGTCTTACTAGCATAATTTAGAAAGGAATGGTGTATGAAGTAGCCCGACTGGTAGTGAAAAATGAGACAGGGGCACAGTCTTTTAAGCCCACCTGAGCATGTTTATTCATTTATCACACATCCTGTTTCCCTTGAGCTGTGGCTGGTGTGCATGGCTCTGCTTCCCTCCTTTAATATCATCACAACCGTGTGTAGATGTAGGCCAGGCTGAGAATGATAAGCATGAGGCCACCCTATAGATTTCATGGCTCCGCGAGGACTGGAATCAGGATTTCCTCAGTTCTAGGCCAACACTTTAACTAGTACACCAAAGGGGATACTAATGAAAAACAAGATAATCTCAGTAACATTCATGCTATGGTGCCAATCCAACTATTTAGATCAGTACTAAAACAGATGGAGACCAACAGTGGTACTAGGTTCTGGTACATCTGGGGGTTGGGTGGGAGAGAATTGCTGGTCCCGTTTGTCAGATTCACTTCTAGAGAGCCTGAAATTTTATCCCCCCCCCCCCCCCCCCCCCCCCAATAAGGAAAGATCTGTGAGATCCCAAAGCATGACTGCTGACAATTCAAACCATGATCCCCTGGCACCATCCTTGGGAATTATTTTTCTGTGCAGTGCCTTCAGTACCTAACTTGGAAGAGCCTATAGAAAAGGACATCATGACTGATGGTCTTGGAAGCTGCAAAAGAATTCACAGGGTCCTTTTCCCTGCAGAGGTCATTCCACTGAATATTTATGGAGGTTCTGTCCCAAAGCCATGCTTGAAGATCAACTGTAATGGATTTACACTACTAAGCCAGTCCAAAAATCCCCAAATGTAATCAGGCCCAAGGAGAAGGAGGAAGATTTTCTTGAAATATGTGTAAGGTTAGGGTTAGGGTTGATCTTAGTAGTGTCAATCCATTAGAGATGTTTATCAATCCATTACAGATGTCGCCATACCAGGTGACAGTCGCATTGAGAGAAAAAAACAGGAAAAATTCAGCCGTTATCAGGACCTCAAAATGGAACTGCAAAGGCTCTGGCATAAACCAGTACAGGTGATCCCAGTGGTCATCGGCACACTGGGTATCATGCCAAAAGACCTCAGCCGGCATTTGGAAACAATGAACATTGACAAAATCACAATCTGTCAACTGCAAAAGGCCGCCTTACTTGGATCTGCGCGCATCATTTGAAAATACATCACACAGTCCTAAACGCTTGGGAAGTGTTCTATTTGTGATTTTATGATATGAAATCCAGCTTGCAGATCGTGTTTGTTGTGACATACCATGTTTTTGTGTCAGTAAAATAATGATAATGACTATGGCACAAGCTAATAAAGGTGGTCCCAGTGGTGATTGGCACACTGGGTGCAGTGCCTAAAGACCAAGGCCTGCACTTAAACACAATCAGCACTAACAAAATTACCATCTGTCAGCTGCCAAAGGGCATCCTAGTGGGATCTGTACACATTATTCACCGATACATCACACAGTCCTAGACACTTGGGAAATGTCTGATGTGTGATCCAATACAACAGCCAGCATAGTGACCTTGTTTGTTGTGTACTAATCTTGTTGTGTTTCAAATAATAATAATGACAACAACGATGATAATGATGTATTGTCGAAGGCTTTCATGGCTGGAATCACTAGGTTCTTGTGGGTTTTTTCGGGCTATAGAGCCATGTTCTAGAGGCATTTCTCCTGACGTTTCGCCTGCATCTATGGCAAGCATCCTCAGAGGTGTGAGGTCTGTTGGAAGTAGGAAAAATGGGTTTATATATAGAAATTGTGGGATGGCTGGGGTCACCTAGGCCTTATGGACTCCCAAAAATCCATAAGGACTCCACCCCACTCAGACCCATCGTGAGTGCCATTGGATCCCCCACATACGACTTAGCAAAATTTCTTGCTGCACAGTTACAAAGCCATATTGGGCTCACTACACACTACATCAAGGACTCAGCCCACTTCATAGAAAAAATCAGCAATCTCAAGCTAAATACAAACGACAAACTGATCAGCTTCGATGTGGTATCTCTATTTACCATGGTCCCGGTAGCAGACACCATGGCACTCATCAACCAGAAGTTCCCAGAAGACATCACGGCTCTGTTTCACCATTGCCTCACCACCAGTTACTTTCAGTGGGACAATGAATTCTACGAACAGAAAGATGGAGTAGCTATGGGGAGCCCTCTCAGCCCGGTCATAGCTAACTTCTACATGGAACACTTTGAAGAACAAGCCCTGGAGACAGCAACCAAAAAGCCCACGATATGGTTCAGATATATGGATGACACCTTCACCATTTGGAGCCATGGAGAAGAAGAACTCAACAGGTTCCTGGACCATCTTAACAGCATCCACCCAAACATCCAGTTCACCATGGAAAAAGAAAATGAAGGAAGACTGCCTTTTCTAGATGTCCTAGGCATCCGCAAACCAGATCAACAATTGGGTCACACCGTCTACAGAAAACCCACACACACAGATAGATATCTACATAAAAACTCCAACCATCACCCAAGTCAAAAAAGAAGCACCATTAAAGCCTTGGCAGACCGTGCAAAAAGAATCTGCGAAACCCACCTCCTCCAAGATGAACTGAACCACCTCAACTGGGCTCTCCAGGCCAATGGATACTCCACCTCAGACATCAGAAGAGCTGCAAGACCAAGAACAAGCCACGAGAGTAAAGATGAAGATCCACCCAGAGGAAAAGTGTTCCTGCCATACATCAAGGGAACCACTGACCGCATAGGGAAGCTGATGAGGAAACACAACATACAAACAATCTACAAACCCACCAAGAAAATCCAACAAATGCTACGTTCAGCAAAGGACAAGAGGGATCCTCTCACCTCTGCAGGAGTCTACCGTATACCATGCAGCTGTGGACAAGTCTACATAGGGACCACCACGCAGCGCCCAGATACGCATCAAGGAACATGAAAGGCACTGCAGACTACTTCAACCAGAGAAGTCAGCCATAGCAGAGCACCTGATGAACCAGCCTGGACACAGCATATTATTTGAGAACACAGAAATGCTGGACCACACCAAAACCACCATGTCAGACTACACAGAGAAGCCATTGAAATCCACAAGCATGTGGACAATTTCAACAGAAAGGAAGAGACCATGAAAATGAACAAAATCTGGCTACCAGTATTAAAAAACTCTAAAATTATAACAGCTAAACAACAGAGAGGAAAAAACCAGGCACAGATTAACACCTCCCAGCAACAGATTTTCCCAGGCTCAGGCAGGCCTTCAAATGTTAATGAAGGTGATCAGCTAAACATTCACACCTAACTGCAGCAGGGAAGAGCTCCTTGCCCCACCCCAGCCATTCCACAGATATATAAACCCATTTTTCCTACTTCCAACAGACCTCACCACCTCTGAGGATGCTTGCCATAGATGCAGGCGAAACGTCAGGAGAAATGCCTCTAGAACATGGCTCTATAGCCCGAAAAAACCCACAAGAACCTGATGATAATGATGATGATAAATTTTATTTCTTACGCGCCTCGAGGAATAATTTATTACAGAATAATTAAACCCCATACACGTAAAAATATCACAAATACACATAATATGTATTTTATAAAAGATACATATTAAAACATATTTCTATAAAATACATATTAAAATACTCAAAAGAGATTAAACAAAGGAAACAAGTTTAAAATTCATGCTTACAAACTGGCTGGGTAGGTGCTATGTCTCTGCAAATGAAGCCACCAAAAGCAATTACATGTCTTTCTAGTCCTTGTGTTAATTTTGCAATGGCTTATTTCATAACTCGGGTCACTTGAATTTTATGGTTACCAGGATCTGCGAACATCAGATAGAATGCTTCTGTTTAGAAGGCTTAGCATACAAGCAGCATTTAAAAAAGAAGAAATAATCAGTCATAAAGGCACAAAAGAGAAGAATTAATGTACAATTTCTGAGAAAGGTATTTATCTTGCTCTACAGTGTGGATGAGTGCATAACTAGCTGTTCCAATATTTATTCCTATTATTGCAAACATAAATATTGCCAATAACTCATGGGTTTTGTTCCCTGCATTACATTTTCGAGAATGATTTAAGTTCATGGAAAAGAAAACATTTATCTTTTCTTATTGTTCATATTACTCTCCTGAGTTACAAGCAAATTGTGCCTACTTATATTTTATGATTTTTAGATAATTAAAATATTTTATGAAGGCAACTAAAAACTCTCCCCAGAGTTAGCAGCGAGATTATTGATTGACTAGCACTGCTGCAAGGGGGAAAATCATTCTTTAAAGCTTCATAATTTTTCTCCCACTGATGTACTAAACACAGTAACCTCCTCCAGTGTTTAGGCTCCAGGGAGAGGTTGCATACTCACAACATTTATTGCAAATACCATTCCGGAGTTACTGAAAATAGTTCATGCTTATGTCTTACTGCCAGTTTAGAAGAAAATTGCCATGTCATATTACTACAAACATTTACAATATCACTGTATTTCATCATCGTAGAACTACAGCAAGGATAAAATGGATGAAGGGGGATGAGAGATTCATGAGGACATAGATCCCTCCTGGGCTGTATTGAATTTTTCATCACTGCCTAAATAATTCCTGCTCTCCATAAAGTAAACCTCTCCTTTTTGGGTTCAATGAGTTGGATCCGGACTAGGTCATAATTAGAAGGGACCTATTTGGCAAGACCGAGAGACAAGGACTTAGAGCTCTTTCCATCTGTAACAATCTACTACTTGCCCTATACTTAGCACCATCCAAACTTGATTGAAGAGTAGTTTATGGATATTACGGAATAATAATGTATACAGAATGTTTTGAGCATGCAAAAAGATAATTTTTATTGCTATGTGAAACAGAAGTTCTGTAATGGGGTTCTAACTTTTGTTATAAATCAGTTTTTTGTCTGATGGGAGAGGGAAGCCTGGAGATGTTAGTTTGTGGACTACAGCTCCCATAACTCCCAG